ACGTAGTACGTAGTAGTAGTACGTACGTACGACGTACGAGACGAGACGAGACGACGACGACGAGAGAGAGAGAGAGAGAGAGAGAGAGAGANAGAGAGAGAGAGAGAGAGAGAAACATGCACATACACCCAAAGAGTGACAAAGAGAGTAAGATAGCTAGGTCATAGATAGCGTGAGAGATCTACATATTGTTTGCAACATATGGAAGCTATACAAAAATTTTATTTGCAACATCAATTTGCAAAATGGAAAGCTATACAAAAATTCCATTTGAAGCTATTCAACATGCACTTTGAAACTATACAAAATTCTACTTGCAACATTAATTTGCAAAATATGGATATACAAAAATTCTATTTCGAAGCTTCATTCCAAGATAAAGTCTTCTCCATTAGCATTGGGTTGCAAAAAATTTCAAAGATGACGAGCTTGATTGTTGAGCATTGGGCTTGCAAAAAACTTCTAAGATGATGAGCTTGATTGTTGAGCATTGGGCTTGCAAAAAATTTCTGAGATGATGAGCTTGAGGGTTGACCATTGGGCTTGTACAAAAACTCCAATCTTGTTCTTAAAGTTATGGCCTATGTTTTGACTTCATGTATTGTTATCCAAACTGATATAATCATTGAAAATTTAGGATATACATTAGCTCGATAACCAATTGAAAATGGAAAGAACTAAGCATTTAACATAAAACACATGCCGTTATATCCTAATACATTTAATATATAACGATCAATTAGTGCAAGTGTATTATCGATATACCGTCAAAAAAGCGAATGGTGTATATAGCGAAGTCTACATATTGTTTCGCTCAGCTTCAGGCTCCATTATGGGAATTTCCATGTCAGACCTGCATAAGTTGCAAATTAGTGATTAGTTGATGCATTATTTCAAATTCACAAGACAATATTAAAGTACAACAATATTAAATTATAATTGTAAGCATAATTATAATTTTACCCTTGAGTTTTCAAAGTTGGACAAGTTCGCCTACCATGGCCTACATTTTGGCAAACAAAATACTTCCCCGTGCTTGTCTTCTCTTCCCATAGTGCTTTCTTTCTTGCAATGCCGAGTCGCCCTTTTGTTCGAACACATTGTGATTCAAGTATAAAGATGTTTGGGTTAGTCCATGGTGTGTGACTATGACTAGACATGACATCATTTATATTACTACCTTGATTCGAACAAGTTGTCTCTTTTTCATACTCCAATCTCTTTCTCTCCACTTTTTCATTACACTCCATAACAATGTTTTTTGTAAATTCTCAGAGTGTTTCACTATTTGATCTGTTTGATACAACTTTAAAGGCGGCTCTACTTAAATCATCGTAACGAGCAGTTTGAAACTCCTTATAATCAGCCTTAATTTGAACACCATCGCCATCTGATACCATCTCTTTGTTTCCTTCCTTAGTCCATCTTGTCATGATGTAGTGCTTGAGGATGAGCATAACACTATTATAATAGAAAACCTTTAAAACATGTGCACAAAGAATACCATCATGTTCATACAAGCAATATGTACGAGCTGCTGTGATTTCTAATTCATTGAATACCACTTTATATTGTGGCCGATTGACATCATATTTATACACCCTATATGTGGTATTTGATCCCTCAACTTCTATAAACTCTGCAACCATGGGAGGTATCTTTTGAGTTTCCTCAACAAACTTCCTAAATACATCATGGGTGTATAACTTAGTAGCTTGTTTTTCATAGAGGAATGTCATTCTCATTATTGGAATACCTTCAGTGCTCGTGAAGTCCCTCATATTTTTTTCTCATATAAATGATCAATTGCTTTATAGCACTGCTTTACAAAACCTAAAAAACTGATGTGTGAATTTACATACTGTTTAATAAAACTATTTATAGATTTACTCCGTGGACTAGACCGTGCACCAGCAAGAAATGTATCATTTATATACATATCAACCCACTGAGAACGACATCCATATATTTTGTCCAACCATTCATTCCTCCTGAGCTCATATTTTTGACGCATTCACCAACGATCCTCAAAATCATTAATTATCTCATTATAATCAGTAATGATTCTATGCAACTCATGTAAGAACCCTGGGTGCTTCCGCTCAACATGGCTCAATTTTTCTTGAAACTTTCGTGAAATATGCCATCTACATAATCGATACCTTGTATTTTGAAGAACTTCTTTAATTGCAGCAGTCATGGCTGCGCCTTGGTCAATAATGATGCAACCTGGTTCTCGACCCAGCATAGCTTCTAGCCAATGCCCAAACAACCATATAAAAGACTCTATTGTCTCATACCTAATTAGTGCACAACCAAAGACTATATTGTTTCCATCATGGTTTGCTCCAATAATGGGGACAAAAGGTATATGATATGCATTTGTCTTCTTTGTTGTATAAAAAATAACTACATCGCCAAATTACTCATATGATATCCTTGATCGCGAGTCAATCCATAGCACATTATAAACTTGACCTACTCCATCAAGCTATATTTCATAAAAAAAATCATGGGTTCGCCTCAACACGCTCACGAAAGTAAGCCAAAAGAGCCTCCCCATCCCTCCCTCTAACACTCGCCTTCCTGCGGGTGCTATGGATAAAGTTTTCGACATCTACATGAGTGAAGCCCAGAGCATTTGACCCATTCGCATGTTCTGTTAAAATATGCATAATTTTATGCACACCAAACCTTGCTGAAGATATCGCTTTGATCAAGTTCATGGTAGCTGTTAGGATGGCTCGATGTGATCTTAAATGATGTACCTTTGATGGCGATGTAAACTTGTGGGAGTGCTCCTCAACAAATTTTGTTACAACCCACTTTCCCTCTTTCATCATGCGTACCCTTAACATTGCTTTGCATCCGTCTTTTGTTATTGGTCGATGATGAATTTTTTCTACATACTTTGGATCACGTTTTCCTTCTTTTGAACAAACATAATCTCGCATCCTCAAATTGTTGTCATTGTCTTTCCTTGCCCTCTCAAGACGAATGCTAAAGTTTTTTCGTTAGGCATAGGCATTGTAAAATTTATACACAGCATCCTCAGATTCAAAGTTCATTCCTATAAATAAGTCCTTTTGATGCCCACTATTATCTTGTTGATCACAAAACAGTGGGACCTCATTGTCCTCACCATCCCCAGTTGCTATGATATTGTCATAACCCGCATGCATAAAATTGTCTTTATAGAACTCATCATGGTCCATCTTTATAGAAAAAACAGTATTTGAAAGGAAGCTAAATAAGTAACATTTTTCCTTTCTGATAAATAATATTGTTGATAAATTCGAGGCATCGGTATATGCAATCTACAAAGCAAATACACCGCATGTGATTAGGCAGAGCAAAGAAGAGTTCGATTAAGTAATTCATTGAGATAAGCAACCATTATTCAATAAAAAAAAGCCCAATTTAAGGGGGTGCCCTGTTTTCTCTTTTTCTTTTTGTTCTTTTTTTTTTTATTGGAGCAAGGTTTAAAACTAGTAGCCCACTTTTGTAAATTCGCAACTTGTGTCCCACTCAGTGATGAAAGACAAGAATCCCCTATCAACATGGATCCTTAAAATGACAAAAGAAATACTATTAGTTCAAAGCTTCAACAAAAAAAATGCAACAACCACAGTTTCAAAAGATCCACAAATTAACTAAAAGATATTACTTGGCCCTGATATTCATAAAAAATGACAAGGACAATTAGTTCAAAATTCATAAAAAAAAATTTCCCCTCAATGGCTCCAAAAAACAAACATGAAACCATTACCTCAACTTTCAGATTTAGGAAAAAATGGAAGCAATCCTATGCCTAACGGATTCTAAAAATTGCATAGAAACACTACTAAGCTCCAAATTTCACAAAAAAATAGCAATAAAAAAATTTCACAAAAAAGCAAGCAGCCCTCCCAAGATGGATTAAAAAAAGTAACATAGACAACAATACTCAACTCCAAATTTCCATAAAATGGCAAGAACTAGTAAGCTCCAAGGCATCTTAAAAAAAAAGAAAAGACACCACTTTGTTCAAATTTCACATAAAAAAACATCTATCAACCATTCATAGCCCTAAATTTCACACAATTAATATCATTCAAGAAATAAAGATAGATAGAGAGAGATAATAAACAACTCTATATTTACAAATAATGCTAGAGCGAGAGAGAGCAAAAAGCTATAAATTTCACAAATGATGCTATAGAGATTATTTTAAAACATACACACATGCAAACACACATATAAAATTAAATAAAAAGGAAAATAGAAAAATATCAAACCTAAGATCTGCAAATTAACGGTGAAGATGAGAGCCTTGGGTGCTGACCTAGAGGGCTGAGTACAATGAAGAGCAGCGGCGACCCTGTTGTCTGGATGACCGAGCAAATTGTAGAGCCGCACACTCGACCACAACCAATCAACCACAAGTGGCTTCAAGAGCCAATCGCCAGGGGGGATTTCTGTTTTCTGGCAAAGTAATTCTTGGCCTTGAGAGAAAAAAGGTCACCAAAGGGTGGGCCCAACTTCTTTCTCACTCCTCTTCAGGAATCTTCTTGTTTCTTGCCCTCCTTTGGACTCTCTCTCTAAGACCTTCTTGCCCTAATCCTTTAAAAAAAAGAAAAAAAAAAATCTCTCTCCCTCAAAGCTTTATAACATAAAAGAACTATCCTCTCCCTTCAAGAACCTCTCTCCTTTTAATGGTGCAGGCTCTCTCTCCTCTCCAAAAAGCTCTCTCCCTATTTTACCGGTGTGTGCTCTCTCTCCTTCAAGAACCCTTTATTTTATTTTTCCGTGTTTTTTTTTTCTTTAAAAATGAGTTTCTCTCTTTATTGTAGATTTATTTAAAATGAGTTATCTATTAATTCCGTACCCGACAACTTAAGTGAGTGAATGCCAGCCATCCATTGTAGATCAATGGTTAAAAAGGCGGAGGAAGTTAGAACTTCATGCAGGTAGAGCATGGAAAGCTTTCGCGGGAGCATGCTCTTTGCTCATAGATACTCGTACCGTACGTAGGATCAGGTCGTCAGTAAGTGTGTCGTCATCACCGTGGATTTGTCAACACCAGTCTTTCTTCTACCTTGGGTTAGGGTTAGGGTTAGGGTTTGGATGGAACTGCACCAGGCATGGAGACTTAGCCTCAGGGCAGATCTGTTTCCAGTAGTGCGGGTAGGCGGATCTAAAGGTTGGCTTCCTTTAAATTTCGGATCTTTTCTCAATTTGATCTGTTTTTTTTTCTCCTGTTTTCTTCCTTTTATGAATCTTTCGTATTTTCTTCTTATTTTTCTGCACCCTCGAGCAGATCTGAGGTTGGGCAAGTTCTTATTCCGGTAAATTTTCATCTTTAGTATTACGTGGTCATGATTTTCATTTTGATCTGATACTTTTTATTTCTTACATTTTTCTCTCTCTAATGTTTTTCTTCTGAGAAATGAACAATTCCCCTGCGGATCCGTCAGGATCATATTGTTTCGTATGAGGTCGAGTCTCTTGATATCGTGTTTCTGCTAATCATTTCAGGTTTTGTTGATCTTAGAATATCATGTTTCTTTCTCTTTTTTTGTATCATAGAATGGTTTGCTTGCATCTTATTCTAAAAAAATGGAAATCTTGGTACCTCAGTAGTGATCCTTGATTTATTTTTATAGTGTATGACACATTCTCCTTTTCTCACTCTCTTTTATGTTTTTCCAGTTCTTTCTTGTAGCTGTAGTCATCCTTGATCTGCTTTATTGTTTCTCACATGGTCTTTGTTGGTATTGTCTTTGTTGAGATGTGATGATAACAGAGGGCGAGCTTGAGCTTATATTCAACGCATCGATTTCATGACCACCAAAAGTTCTTAGATATGGTTAATTCTTCTAGTATCCATATTATATCTTGAAGCTTTTATCAACTTACCAGAACTATTTGAAACATTATGTAATATGTTAAATGTTTTATTATGAAATTTGGACCTTGATGAGAATCTTCTTTTTGCCAAAAAAATAAAATGTAATGTAATGGTTTATCCTTTTTGGAGCCTCAACACATAATCCTTTTCTCTTCAGAGGGGGAGACAATAGTAAAATCATACAGTGGCAACATCTACATGAATTTCCACCCGCATAATCGGTGAAAATGTTGGTCAAAGGTTCAGTTTTTGAAATTGTATATTTTACTTGAAGAGTACCAAATCATTGCAGTCCATGCTAGTTACTTCAGTAAGTTAAGTCTGAAGGCGAATTCCTTTGATTTTGTCAGCTTCATGAGAGTGAACAAGCCAACATTACTCCCAAAATTTCAACTTTTGGAAAATCTCGAGAGTGCTTGACGTGGATATGTGAAAGCTATTCACCAATGCATTATATAATAAGAAGTACATGAAAGAAAACTAAATATAGAACAGTGCAAATATGAAGAACATTAGCAATTCTTTTATTTTTGTGGTTTTATTATTTCTTATGTTTTTATCATTTTTATATTTGTTTGTATGAAAACAATATTTTGAGACATAAAAACATGAGTGTAAAGGAAAAAAATACCATGAAAAATAGCAAGAATATCAATATGCCCAATATTATGACCTGTTTTATATTTTTGCTTTTTTGAAATATAAATCGATCGAAGACCCTATGCAATATAATAGATGGCACATAAATTTACGTAAAACATTTATTTTGTTTCAGTAGTAGTAGATTTACATTTATCCTGAATGTATCATATTCTGATAGTCCTAACCCAAGTGTGGATGTAAACTGGGTTGCATTCATGCTTGTCACTATTTAGACATTCCAATCATTTTGATTGTAAAACCCCAAAAGGATATGGTCTATACTTGATGACTTTCTATCCTCATCCCAAACAACCCTCTAAATGAGTATCATTGTACAAGTCCAAATGGAGGAGGATTTCCATTTAATCCCATCACTACCTGCTTCAATGTGCACCTGGGATATTTGAATGGTTTAAGAATACTTCTCCATGCTCTGCATTTGCAATTGGATTTGGCAGGCCATTTTAGTGTTTCATGAGGACCATGGGTATCCTCTGTTGTCATCCTTGATGTAGAGTTCTCATTTTCAAGATCCTTTTGTTATTTTTCATCCAATAGAAATCATCCTATAGGAGATTCTCATCTTCTGGCTCATTCCTTCTCTTGGGCTCATAGTCAGAGTGGATAATAGTACAAATTACAAACAACTCTCTCTCTCTCTCTCTCTCTCTCAGTTTTTTGAGATGAACACTTCTAATGCTTCGAACTCTTCCAGTCCTCCTTCATTGAGCTCCCTCCTAATGTATCGGTCGAAGCAACCTCTGCTTCACTATCTTCCAAGTATTCATCACCTTTGTGATTGCCATTTTAGGATCCTTCGCAATCTTCATTCATATCTATACAATTCAATCTTCTAAAAATAACCTTTTTACCTTATTCATTATTGTATTTATATTACCTTCAAGTTTCCCATCAAGGATTTAGTGGCCCTTTAACCTCGAGAGCCACTCATTTTACATCATCCCATCTGGGTCACACTTGTTTCTTCTTGAGAGTGTCCTTTATTTGCCAAAGGCTAGAGCTGTTCTGTATGATTGATAAAAAAAGAAAGAACTATGAATAGAAAACAATAAGTAACATGAGAGTTCCCCTACTCTTTAGACTGGTTAAACAGCTCCTGATAATTCACCGAGGACTTTGTCATTTTGCATCAAAAGGCTTGCAGCTGAGAAAAGTCACTTATTGGCCAATTTTTCCCTCCCAATCTTTCTTTATCATCCAATCTGGGCAATCCTCATCCGCATGGTTATTTGCAGTCATAAAACATTGTTGAGAGGTAATGTACATCTTTGACTCATATATTGGGGGCATTTTACATTTTATAACAGTGGACAACTATTGTTTAAAGGTTTCTCCTGTTAAGAAAATAAACAGCCTAATAACAACAATTTTGCCCTTAACTTTCAAAGCCAATGAAGTGTTACTAAGTTTCTCCTGTGTGTCTCTGTGTGTGCTTTGATGGGTAAGCTTGAGATTTAAACCTTGACATGGGTTGCAAATATATGAGCTGTAAACAATGAGGCCATTAAGCTTAAACCCCTGGTGATTTTCTTTAAGGATTCCAGATATGTTTCCATGTTTTTGTGGTGGTCACTTGACAGAACTCCTGATGCTATACCGACTTGAATAGTTGCTCTTTCATTAAAGCATGGTTTCTATTTATAGTATTTGGCTCAATAAATGCTGGCCCTTTAGTGTCACTATCACATTTACCAAAAGAAAGAAAAAGAAGGAAAACCCAAGTGGGTATTCCCTAATTTTGAAAGCTTGCTCATAATGCTGCCTTCCATGTCATCATAAGAGTACAGAAATGTCGGCAATCACCCCTTGCCTTCTTATAGTTAGAGGGTAATTTAAAAGTGGATACTGCCATGAATATATAAATTGATTACCATTTATTCAGTTGTAATTGATTAATGTTTGGTCATGTTTTGCCTTATCATTATTATTATTTTATAAACTGTTAACTTTGCCTTTTATTAATGTTTTGTCATGCTTTTCATTTTACACAGTTTTGCAGAAGAAATAGGAAGAGATGGCTGCACATAGGATTGCTCATGTTGCGTACACTGGACCAAGTATTATTAAGGAGATCTTCTATGGCATGACGCTGGGCCTGTTGGCTGGGGGCGTTTGGAAGACTCACCACTGGAACGAGCAGAGGAAAACCAAGGCTTTCTATGACTTACTTGAGAAGGGTGAGATCAGTGTCGTTGCAGAAGAGTAGCCTCTCTCTCTCTCTCTCACAAAATTCTTCCCTTCCATTATTTTTCTACTCTCAATTGCTTCCAATTTTTATCCAAGGAATTGGGTGTTTGAGTATATGGGTCAGGTACAATAAAATAACTGCCAAAACCCGTATGCTCTTATTTATTCGGATTGTAACGATGTGTTAGCCTTAGAGTAAGGGCTGAGCCAATCTTGGCAAATAAACAGAGGCTTTCCTTTTTAGCATCAAGCTTTCACTTTCTATGGAAGATACGTGGTTGTTTGGTACCTATCAAATGCCCGAATTCTGAAATTTATAGTCTTATGCGTTGATATCAAATATTTGAGACTGGTAGTGATTCGAAAATCACCCGTCTCACAAGGACCAGAATGGAAGGCGGGCGATTTTGGGCCAAGAAACGTCAAGTCACCTGAGTCTCCTGGTTAGCCGGTTTTTTAAAAGAATTAATAAATATAGCCCGACCCGGAAATTACCCTAGTTGGATTGGGGGTATCAATATTGGACACATGTCTCCAGTAATTTTTGAGACATTGTTTGAGAGGTTGTAAGGTAAGTTATGTGATAACTGGATTACGAATATCGTACTTCTCAAATCATGGACTGTTAAATAGTAGTAACAATGCACTAGTGGTAGTAAACAAAAGGGTATTTGATCAGGTGGGCGGTTTCTCTTGAAATGATGGGTCCCTGTCCACCATTGGATCCTTAGGCAGGAGGATCCCCTCCATTGAGTTATTTATTAAAAAATTCACATGAAGAGGTTTTTCAATGCCAAAAAATCCTCACAACCATCATCTCATCCTCAAGGTGCATGGACTTGAGAAAAATGGATTTCAAGCTGTGGAAATAGGACATCTTGCATTGCAATTTTTGAAACGTCAATTTTCCATTTTCAAAATTTTCAAATGTTTGTAGATCTGTTTGATTTATGCTATTTTTTAAGCTTTAAATTTTATAATTTGATATAAAAATAATTTTTCAGATCGTTACAAATATTTTAAGTACTAAAACATCTTTGAATACTATTTGAAAGTGCGTCTTACTTTGATTATCAAATATGAAGCTCCATGTCACATTTATGCCCCCTTGAAAATGGATGTCTAGGTAATATATTACAGTATACACTATTGAAGTGTCTTTTATATTTAGGTATATTGTCGTACTGGTTGAAGGGATTAATTTGAGAATTTTTCGATGCTAAGATTACAAATTTTTTTTTGTGGGATTTGGTTTGCAACTATGATCTTTTGTCATTGATCCCAAGCTTCGTATTAAAAAAGGACGAAGTTTTTATAAGGCCTCGACTTAGGAAAACAGAATAAAGCCTCACCTCAAATCCTTATTCGGAAAACATTTTCGGCAATGGAAATCTCCATAATGGTTCTAAAATCAATTTTGAACATTGACAATAAACATTGAATTTCAAAAAATATATAGATGTTCCGGATCTATGAGCACTTATTTTTAGGATGAAGTTGATGGTCTTGGTAATTTGTTATTATATTTAGAGTTTCAGATCCTAATTTGGTCTATAACCATAATGTTCAAGCAGAGATGATCGATGTAAAGGTTTTCCAATACTTGAATTGCAATTTTTAATGAGTTATTTGACGAGGCTCTACTTATTTTGAAAGGGCTATAACCTTATCAAACCATTTTCTATAAAAAAAATGGTGCGATGAGTCTTTGAGAGCCCATTTGGAAAATCTTCCCCGCAAAACCCTGCCACAAAATGTAGTTCCAACATCGGAAACACGATGATGGTCAGAAAATCTCTCTCGATCATAATTATGAAATTTAAAACTCAAGTGATGGTATGAAGATTTGTATTGACCCTTCTTGTGAAATTTTAAACTCCAAAAATGGTTTTCACTCGATGCATGAACACTTGAAAATAAACTATCTAGATAATTTACCATGAAAAACTAGTTCTGAAACCTGTAATCTATTTTTTGAAGTATAGACTATTTGTTTTTAATACACGGAGATCACAATCATCATTTATCGTTTTGAAATTGGGTGATTGAGGATGTGTCATTAAGCACAAAGTAAAAAAAAATTTCTCATCGTGACACACTTTCATATATAGTTAAGTGATTGTGACTTTTTTATATCAAAAATAAATATTCCCATAGTTTACCATCCCAGTAAATATAGACATGATTATTCTGATTATTTTTTTTTGTCAACAAAACTTCAATTTTCAAGTGCCTTGCTATAATGTTTTTCATTATAAAAAGGATATGTCATCTTTCATAATTTAAAGATAAACCATTGTACTAGACATAGCGAAAATTAAGCCTATAATGGTAACGACAATTTTAGTTAAGGACACGGTTTCTATGCAGCCAGCCCGCATATTATAGAAATGTGGGCTTGGTAATAAATTTATTTTTTAAATATAATTTGGTCCTAATTTTTAGATAATATATAATTTTTAACATGGATATCATGAATATAAAAAAAAAAATTGAAAGCTAAAAGTAATAATTATATTAAAAAAACATTTGGATTGTTAGTTACAATCAGTGGTTTAAAAAATGGATTGGTGCCTCGAATCCGGCACCCAAAAAACCAACCGGATCGGTGAATTGGTGATCTGGATAGGGAATCGGCCGAATTGGTCAAATTAAGCCTTAAAAAAAATCCAAAAATATTATTAAAATTCATTATAAATGTTGTTTTTTAGGAATTCAATAAAAAATGAGGGTGCTACATTATTAACTTTCATTTTTTTCATCAACATGTAAATATTGAGAGGTTCTTTCCATGTATGAACTTATATTAATCATTAAATTTGTATCACATAAAAGAAAAGTCATAGAATTATCATAGATAAAGTATATAATCATACATGGACTACAATAAAGAATGAATTAAATCAATGAAAAAATGGCCAATTAGAACCTAAAAACAACCTAACTAACTATAATCCAAAATTATTACAACCTAACTGACTATAATATTATATACTAAAATTGAAATTGTTGGTTTACATTTTATAATTATTTTATTACATAAATAATAACAAATCTAAAATATATTATAATATTATCTAATTTAAAGTGTATTATTGACAATTGTAAGAAAAATAGTACATTACATGATTTATAATACAAAAAAATTAATAAATAAAATAAAATATTTGGTTATCAATGTAGAAATTATTAGAATGCGTACCAATTTTTGAAATAACACTTTAATTTTTCAAAATCTAATTTTTTAGATTTCTAGAATAAATTTAATGGAAGAGATTGTTAGTAGAGAGAGAGAGAGATTTCAAATCGCATCATGAACCCTATCTTTGAATTAATATTCCTAAATTCATGTTAAAGATCATGATGTTATAAAAATAAAAAAAATTATTAGATCATTTATTCCTAGGTTGTATTAAGAAATAGTTGTTGTATTAAGAAATATCTTTTATTTTTTTGACAAAAATACTTGTTGTATTACTTTTTATTTATTTTTTGACAAGAAAAATATGATACGTGTTATATATACATAGCCTAGGCTCTAAACAATCAAATTAGAGCCTACCTCAAAACTTTCATTAGAAGAGGTTGTTTTGATGCCTAAATATCATCAAATTGATCATCTCGACATCAAGATGTATGGACATGGGAAAAAATGGATTTCAAACTTTGGAAATAGTACATCTTGTAACGGATTTTTGGACCATTGATTTTCAAGTTTTCATAGATATGCTCGATCAAGACTATTTTTGAAACTTTAAATTTTATAACTTCAGATGAAAATATAATTTAAGGCTATCACAAAACTTTTCAGTACTGAAACCATATTTCTCGACACTATTTGAAGGTGGGCCTTAATTTGATTGTTTAGAGCCTCGGGTCTATACAAATTGCACTCAAGACAATACAATTTATTTCAAACTTTTAAAACATTATAATACAAAATATAAATTAGTGACGGATATCTTTTGGGCCATAGCAGTAATAAGGAAAATTATCACAAATGTACTTTAATTTTCGTTTATTTAGAAAAAACCCCAATTTTCATAAACTTCGTCCACAACCCCTTCTTCAATTTTGCTTCAATTAACGTTCAAAATAACCATCATAGTAGTTGTATTACTGTAATAACTTGAATGAATATTACGGTACTTTAAGTACCGTAAAACCTAAGCCATATTATATGGCATTTTAACTACTGTATCACAGCGGCAAAGGCAGGATAAGATGTGCATGAGCCATCTCTAGAGGCAAGGGCAGGATGAGCTTGTGCACCTCTTCTTTTGGGATGAAGCCATGGCTGAAAAGATAAGCTCGGGGAATGAGTTTATGAGAATGGTTTGTCAGGATAAGCTTGTGCGTCTCTTCTTTTGGGAAGAGGCCATAGCTGGCTATGGAGAAGAGGAGGACTAAGAGCCAAGTGGTGCCAGTTTTCGGGGTAGAGGCCAAGAGAATATCGTCTGGATGACTCACAAAGTGTTTGGAGAAATCCATTGTTGTCTCGACATGATCCTCCGGATACCAATAGCCTTGCCATTATGGTACCCTATAAATGTTTGGTGGTGGGGAGATCTTGGGACAAGCTGGAGACCAAGGGATGTGGACAGTCAAATGATAAGCTTGAGATGGCGCACATCATATCCCGCCCTTGCCTTTGTGATACGATAGTTAAAATGCCGTATAATATGGCTTAGGTTAAAAAGTACTGTAATATTAGTTCTAGTAAGGTTATTTTGGTCACAAAATGCTTAAAATTGTGGATGACGTTTATGAAAGTTGGATTTTTTTTTTCTAAATAAATGAAAATTAAGGTATATTTGTGATAATTTCCCTAGTAATAAGTTAAAAAAAATTGTATCCTATTCTTGACCCATTAACATTTGCTTAATACAAATGTTTGAAATCCTATAATAAATAATTTTAAGAACCATGAAAACACACTAGTAATTTTTTAAAGAAATTAAAGTCTTTAATTACAAAGAGAAATGAATGATGATAGTTCTTGAAATTTTACAAAAAAATTAAAATATTTTTATTTTTGGTACTAAAATTGGAATGAAAATTTTAATATTTAAAATTTATAGAAATTAGTTTTATATAACATTTAAAGGCACAAAAATCAATAAAAATAAAAATTTATTTAGTGGGCACATGGACATATACATATAATAAATATAAGTTATGTACATAAAAAGAGAAATGATCCTACATGCGGATCTATAAAAAAGTCAAGTCCCACACCCATGTGGTAACTTTTCTAGATATCCGTACGAACTTTAATAGTGATTCTTTG